CCGAGCAGCACTTCATGGTGGGCCACAGGGTCACCTACTACGTCTTCACCGACCGGCCGGACGCCGTGCCCCGCGTGGCGCTGGCCGAGGGCCGCCGCCTGGAGGTGCTCCGGGTCCCGGCCGCCGCGCGCTGGCAGGACGTGTCCATGCGCCGCATGCAGATGCTCAGCGACTTCTGCGAGCGGCGCTTCCGGCGGGAGGTGGCCTTCCTGGTGTGCACCGACGTGGACATGCGCTTCAGCGACCACGTGGGCGTGGAGGTCCTGTCCCCGCTCTTCGGCGCCCTGCACCCCGGCTTCTACGGGGCCGCCCGCCAGGCCTTCACCTACGAGCGCCGGCCGCAGTCCCGGGCCTACATCCCCTGGGACCAGGGCGACTTTTACTACTTGGGGGGCCTCTTCGGGGGGTCGGTGTCCGAGGTTCACCGGCTCACCACGGCCTGTCACCAGGCCATGACGGCCGACCGCGCCAACGGCATCGAGGCCGTCTGGCACGACGAGAGCCACCTGAACCGCTACCTGCTGGACCACAAGCCCACCAAGGTGCTGTCCCCCGAGTACCTGTGGGACGAGCAGCTGCTGGGCCGGCCGGCCGTCATGAGGAAGCTGAGGTTCATGGCCGTGCCCAAGAACCACCAGCAAATCCGCAACTGAGGGCGCGCTGGGGCCGCGGGAAGGGCTGGGGCCGCGGGAGGGGCTGGGGCCGCGGGAGGGGCTGGGGCCGAGCTCCCTCTGGCCCCCAGATTGGAGCCTTGATGGCCACTGGGCACAACTGCGCTTCCCTCTTCTGTCCTGTGGGGGTTGACTGTGGCTGCCTGGCACCGCCCCACCCCCCAAATACAGGCTGTGGGTACCTCAGGCATGCAGGAGACAGGCCCGTCCCCTGGGCATCCATCCGCTCCCACTGGGCGCTCCTGGGCCCTCAGCTCATGTGAGCCAGGGGGCTGGGCCCAGATGAAGTCGCTCCCAGGGAGGGCAGGAGCTCCTACCACAGTCCCAGGGCCCTGGGCACTGCTCGAGGCCAATCCCTTCCCTTCCTGAGCCCTCCCAGAGCTGAGTGGCACCTTCAGTGCGCAGGCCCAGGTGGAGGGGGGGAGGCCCAGGTGGAGGGGGGGAGGTCCAGGTGGAGGGGGGGAGGCCCAGGTGGAGGGGAGGAGGCCCAGGTGGAGGGGAAGAGGCCCAGGTGCTGGTGAGGCCTGACTCCCACCCTCTTGGCAGCCGCTGGGAGCGGGGCGGCCTGAGTTCACGGGGGCAGGGGAGGGTCGGCCTGAGTTCACGGGGGCAGGGGAGCGGGGTGGCCTGAGTTCACGTTGGCAGGGGAGGGGGCCCGAGCACAGGACGTTGCCAATTGTCAAGAAAACCTGTGCCTCTTGCTCCAAAGGACGTCTGTGCCCCCAGGGGGCCCCCTCGGTGTGAAATGCTGGGGCTCTTGGCCCCGCTTGGCTAAGGTGACCAGACATCCCGATTTTTAACAATTTATCCCACGATAAAATCGGGACTTTTTTAAAACGCCGCGGGACAAATTGTTACAAATCGGGACTGTCCTGCCAAAAGCGGGACGTCTGGTCACCTTACGCTTGGCCCCTCTCCCGGGCGGGGGCAGGGCAGGCACCCATCAGCAGAGGCCTCTGTCCTCGGTGGTCTGCGCCGTCGGAATACCCGGGTGTCTCACTGCCCCACCCACTACCATGAAGCCCCAGCCCCTCCCTGAGCCGTCCGTCCTGCCTGTGTGAGCCGGGCACCTCTCCGTCCCTCTGGGAGGGGGTCTCCAGGGGCTGTCAGAGGGGCCTTCGTCAGCCCTGCTCCTCCTCCCTCCGTCCCCGGGGTCAGCCCCAGGCTCCCAGGCCTGCTTTCCCCAGGGCTCAATGGGAGTCCCCACAGGCGTGCTGGCGTCGGACGGAGAAGCTCCCCCTAGCGGCGGGTCCTCAGTAAGGGAGGTGGGAGGCCGCAGAGCTCCCTTCAGCTCCGCTGCGGGGGGTGGGGGGACTCCGGAATCCTGATGCGGGGACACAGACAAGGCCCACGGCAGGAGGGCGGCCTGGCCGTGCCCACCACCTGGGAAATGAGCTTCCGGAAGAGCGCCCGCCCCAGAGCCTCCCCGCCTGACACCCACAAGTGCACACACGCACACGTGAACATACAGGCACACACTCAGGCACCCTGGGCACAGAACACAGCGACTCGCATGCACACACAGGTAGGGACTGGGATTGCCTGAAACCGATCACGGTCTCACTACCAGGAAGAAGTAAAAGGCAGGTCAAGCTTGAAGCTCTGAAAGGGCAGAGCCAACCACTCCCTAATTGAGACAATGGTAACTGAGGCAACTTCCCCACAAAGTCACCTAAATCCTTCCTGATGGGATAATCCGACCATCGCCTGCCTAAGGGCCATGGGTGTGGCCCACAGTCTCCATAAAACGGATGGCAAGGCCAGAGCCTAGAGCAGTCCCCCCACTAGAGGGCTCCCGCTCGCCCCACCCTCCCCCCATAACGCCAAATCAATTTTTAAAAATTTCTTCTAGTCTCTAATTTCCATGCAGCCCTTCTCCGGAACACAAACCCTGAGCCCCGCAGGACGTGAAAGGGGTTCCCTTAGGGACAGTGAGCACCGTCACGGCTCTCCTCCCCAGAGGGACCTTGCTCTGTCCTCGGTTCGGGGCTCCTTATTGCACTCTAACAAATGCTTGTCCTTGAACAAGTCAAAGCTAGCCCAGCCCGGCCGGCGGGGCCCAGTGGTGGAGCATTGACCTATGAACCAGGGGTTCACGGTTCTATTCCTGGTTGGGGGACGAGCCTGGGTTGCGGGCTAGATCCCCAGAGTGGAGTGTATAGGAGGCAGGCGATCCATGATTCTCTCTCACCATCGATATTTCTATCTTTTTCTCCCTTCCTCTCTGAAATCAATAAAATTAAAAAAACAAAACACCACCAAAACCGGTTTGGCTCAGTGGATAGGGCATCAGCCTGCGGACTGGGGTGGGATCCCAGGTTCGATTCTGGTCAAGGGCACATACCTTGGCTGTGGGCACATCCCCAGTGCGGGGTGTGGAGGCAGCTGATTGATGCTTCTGTCCCATCGATGTTTCTCTCTGTCCCTCTCCCTCTCTGAAAAATCAAAATATATTTAAGAAAGAAAAACACAAAACGCTAGGCGAGCTGGTGTGGCTCAGTGAGTGTGGATTATGAACCGGGTAGCGGTTTGGTTCCTGGTTGGGCCATCCCAGGTGTGGGAACCCAAGCAGGGGCATGCAGGAGGCAACTGGCCAGCATTTGTCATGGATGCTTCTGTCTTCCTTCCCTCTCTCTGAAATCAATGAAAAATACATTTTAAAAAGTGAAAGCTAAATAATATACTTTTCTTCCTAGATGACCAATACACAGAGAACACTGAACTATTTCAGAACGATACAAATCTCACGCATTGCAAAAACTTGGACAAGGAGATAAGAGATTTGCAAGTCCCGCCCCAGAGGGGACCATCACAAGTGGTTTGTGGGCATCTCTCAGGCTCCATCTCTCTCTGTTTTGTTTTGTTTTGTTTTAATATATTTTATTGATTTTACACAGAGAGGAATTGAGAGGGATAGAGAGTTAGAAACGTCGATGAGAGCGAAACATCAATCAGCTGCCTCTTGCACACTCCCTACTGGGAATGTGCCCACAACCAAGGTACATGCCCTTGACCAGAATTGAACCTGGGACCCTTCAGTCCGCAGGCCAAAAAGCTCTATCCACTGAGCCAAACCGGTCTTGGCTCCGCCTCTCTTTCTGTTTGTCTCTGTGACAACGCAGATTCCTTTACACGTGTGTCTGTCTCTTGAAATCACACGTGCATGGTCTAATGGGTGGGATCCTGGGATGCAAAAGGTTCCACGTGTCTCACCTAAGAGGACCCTGAGGTCTGTGGGTGGCACATGGAGACCTGCACCCACGGCAACAGCCGCTCAGCTTGCCGCGTCCGCGCGGAGCAGGATCGACGGGTCCAATCCCTCTCCGTGGATGGTCTTCCAATTTCTGGCAAGTTCGCCAGTGCTCTGATGGGTAGTCTCAAAAACACATCTTTTAAAAAAAAAAAATATTTTTTATTGATTTCAGAGAGGAAGGGAAAGGGAGAGCGGATAGAAACCTCAATGATGAGAATCATGGATCGGCTGCCTCCTGCATACCCGACACTGGGCCTGTACCCTGACCGGGAATCGAACCATGACCACTTTGTTTATTTTTATTGATTTTGTACAGAGAGGAAGAGAGAGGGATAGAGAGTTAGAAACATCAATGAGAAAGAATCACTGATCAGCTGCCTCCTGCACACCCCCCACTGGGGATGTGCCCGTAACCAAGCTACATGCCCCTGACCGGAATCGAACCCGGGACCTTAGAGTCCCCAGGCTGACACGCTATCCACTGAGCAGAACCGGTTTTGGCGAACCATGACCTCTTGCTTCCTAGGTGGACCCTCACAAATACATGTTTGCAAAACTGCAAGAACGCCTGCAGGAGGCGCCGCCGGGGACCTGCCGGCCTGCGCACTGTCTCCCAGGGGCCCTCCCCCTCCTCTCCCGACGTGCCAGGCCTCGCTTCCTCTCGTTGGGGTGCACATTTGCCCTCGTCCCTTTTGAAACATCAGCTTTCCCAAGTTTTCTGCACTTGGGGGGCCATGCCATTCCTGGGAGCGACTTCATCTGGGCCCCCCTCGGTCAGGGACCCGGCCCCCTGGCTCACCTGAGCTGAGGGCCCAGGAGCGCCCAGTGGGAGCGGATGGATGCCCAGGGGACGGGCCTGTCTCCTGCATGCCTGAGGTACCCACAGCCTGTATTTGGGGGGTGGGGCGGTGCCAGGCAGCCACAGTCAACCCCCACAGGACAGAAGAGGGAAGCGCAGTTGTGCCCAGTGGCCATCAAGGCTCCAATCTGGGGGCCAGAGGGAGCTCGGCCCCAGCCCCTCCCGCGGCCCCAGCCCCTCCCGCGGCCCCAGCCCTTCCCGCGGCCCCAGCGCGCCCTCAGTTGCGGATTTGCTGGTGGTTCTTGGGCACGGCCATGAACCTCAGCTTCCTCATGACGGCCGGCCGGCCCAGCAGCTGCTCGTCCCACAGGTACTCGGGGGACAGCACCTTGGTGGGCTTGTGGTCCAGCAGGTAGCGGTTCAGGTGGCTCTCGTCGTGCCAGACGGCCTCGATGCCGTTGGCGCGGTCGGCCGTCATGGCCTGGTGACAGGCCGTGGTGAGCCGGTGAACCTCGGACACCGACCCCCCGAAGAGGCCCCCCAAGTAGTAAAAGTCGCCCTGGTCCCAGGGGATGTAGGCCCGGGACTGCGGCCGGCGCTCGTAGGTGAAGGCCTGGCGGGCGGCCCCGTAGAAGCCGGGGTGCAGGGCGCCGAAGAGCGGGGACAGGACCTCCACGCCCACGTGGTCGCTGAAGCGCATGTCCACGTCGGTGCACACCAGGAAGGCCACCTCCCGCCGGAAGCGCCGCTCGCAGAAGTCGCTGAGCATCTGCATGCGGCGCATGGACACGTCCTGCCAGCGCGCGGCGGCCGGGACCCGGAGCACCTCCAGGCGGCGGCCCTCGGCCAGCGCCACGCGGGGCACGGCGTCCGGCCGGTCGGTGAAGACGTAGTAGGTGACCCTGTGGCCCACCATGAAGTGCTGCTCGGCCGTCTCCAGGAACAGCTTCAGGAAGGCCACGTACCTGGGCAGGAGAGGGGCAGAGGGTCAGGGAGGGGCGGGGCCCATGCACCCTCCTCGTCCTCTGTTCCCAGAGATGGGGGGCCGGCAGCACCCCATCTTAGGGAGGAGGGCCTGAGGCTCCGGGGCTGGAGCAGGAGCCTCGGTGAGGAGAGGCGGAGCTGGGTCCTGCCTATGCCAGCTCCCAGAGAGCCCGCAGCCCCCAGGTCCCCATCTCCTGGCCGACCCCATCCCATCGGCCCTGGGCACAAGGACAGACCCTGAGGGGCCTGCTGCTCCCGCCTCCACCCCCCTGAGCAGGAAGCCTTGGCCTCCTGCTCAGGGGGCCACCCCCATCCCCGCCCCCGCCCCCGCCCCCGCCCCGGCCCCCTTACTTCTTGATGGCGAACACGGTGATCCCCACCGTGAGGTTCTGCAGCCGGAACTGCTCGTCCAGGAGGGCGATGTTGAAGGTGCCCTCCCAGATGATGGGTGCCAGCCACGGGGTCAGGACGAGGACGTCGTTCCTCCTGCAGCGGAGCCCAGGCCGCTGAGCGGAGGCCCTCAGCCTGTGCTCCCGCCCCCGGGACCCCGCTGGCCAGGCCCTCCGCCCGGGCGGACCGTCCTTCCGAGGACGGGGCACCTGCAAGACCCTGCCGGAGCCAGCCCCGGTGCCAACGGGCAGAGCCCCCTTACCACCCACAGCCTGAGGCCGGGCACGGGGACTGGCCGGCGGAGGGCACCCTGTGGCGCCCCCCCCTCCCCCACGCTGCCTGTGAGACAGAGGACAGGAGCACAGCGCAGGGGAGGACGGACTCTGTGGTCCGGGCTCCGACCACAGGGCTCGGAGCGGCAGAGCCAGTCCCGGGGCGACGTGGGCGGCACCGCCCGCCGGGACGTGGGGAGGGGGGGTGAGTGCGAGGGGTTACTCACGAGGGCGTCAGCACCCTGGGCTGCGGGTACAGCATCCTGAAACACAGCGGGCAGCGTGAGTGTGAGACCCCTGGAGAGGCTGGCGGGCAGGGTGGCTGCTGAGGGCCAGGCTGTGCCTCCTGGGACACGGGGCCCAGGCTCCTCCGCACTGCACCTCTGGGACGGGGCTCAGCCTCCGGGCGCCTGTGGCTGGGCCCTGAAGGAAAGGCCCCGGGCCTTTGCCCCCTCTGACCCGAGTGGTGGGTCCCAGGTCCCGTCTCAGCTCACTGTGGGCGGGACGCCCTGGAAGGGGCCTCTGGGGTTTGGGGGCCGAGGGGGGGAGAACGGGGGAGGACGGGATGCCCAAGGAAGGAGCGGGCCCAGAGGAGCCGCCGGCAGACACGCATGTGGCCGCTGGGCCTCTGGCTGGTGACAGGAGCACCGGACGTGGCCGTCACAGCACCAGCTCCAACAGGCTCTCGGCCACGGTGAGCCTGAGCGGGGGGAAAGGCGTAGAAAGGACAAGAGGACGGAGCTGGTCCAGGTGGGACGTGCTCCCTCATGGGGAGACCCTCACATGAGCCTATTTCACAGCCGCTGCCACGCGGCACGGGGGGGCGGGCCAGATGGCACAGCGTTCTCTGGGTCTCACCCACTGCACCACCTGACCCAGCTGTTTCCCGCGGCCTCTCACTCAGGCGGTGGGGCCACGTGTTCGGACCACAGGGTCACGCTCACAACCACAGCTGGCGGCCATCACGGTGCTGGGAGGCTCCGCCCTCCACGCTGGGCCTCGCACGTGGCCGGGAGGACTGTGCCCTCATCAGCCCGAGGCTCGAACCTGTCTCAACGCTGTGGTCGCGCCCCAAAGGGGGTCCCTGTCAAATGAGTGCCCCGTGCACGCCCGGATGCACCCAAAGCCGGTGCCTACGCTCCCGCCCACCTACGCCTCCCGCCCCTCTGCCTCCCTTCAACTCCCCCCTCACCCCCCTACCAGCCTCGGTCCGGTTCTGGCAGATCCAATGAGCGTGAGCTGATGCTGTGGACGTCGGAGGCAGCAGGTCAGAGGGCGGTCGGGGCTAAAGCCAGTCCTCCCAGGTGACCCTGCAGGGCCAGGGACGTGGCCGAGCTGCTCTGGGCATGGGGGTGGGGGGGGGGCGGGCAGTGCGGCTGTCAGGGCCGGGCCCCCCTCACTCACTCACCCTTCTCCTTCCGGGCTGGTCCCCGGCATCGGGATTCTCAGGTTCACGACCACCATGCTGTGGAAGAGCCCCCCAAAGGCCCTTGCTGAGGAGCAGGTCCTGGGCCGGCCTGTCCACCTTCCCCACGCAAGGTCATGCCCCCGAGCTCCCCAGAAAGCTGCCCTCGGGCAGGGCGGGGGGGGCAGTGTCCCCTAAGCTCAGGTGCCCCCTGGGCGGCGGGAATGGGTCCCGGGCGTGGCCGGCTGGTCCGAGGCTGCCCAGGGACGGCTTCCTGGCAGGGTCCCTCACTCCGGGCCCAGGGCCTTGTCTGTCCGGGAGTGGCTGACAGCGCGGCTCCCCCCTCGCAGCCACACAGGGAGGGTCCAGGCCTCGCCCAACTCCCCGCTGCTGAGGTGGGGGAGCACAGCCCCCCAGGGTGCGGCCCCGTGGGAGGGAGTGTGAAGCCGGGTGGTGAGGCGCTGTCAGCCCTGTCTCTCCAGCTGTGACCAGGGAGCAGGATTGTGGGGAACAGCTCAGGGCGCCCCCTGGGATCCAATAGCCCTGCTGACCCAGGGGCCTGGCCGCTTCTCACCCAGAGACCAGGAGGAAGGTGAAGAGGAGGAAGGCCAGAGGTCGAAGCGAGCGGCAGGGAGGTTTTCCTGGAAAACGCAGTGGGAATGCGGTCTCGCCACGCGGCTCCTGGCTCCGGGGGTCTGTGGGCTGCACCGGGGACCCTGGCCCGGCCCCGCCAGGAGAGTGCCCCTCGCAGGGCGAGTTTGGAGCGAAACCGGAGCCCCTCTGAGACCCAGTCCCATCCCCAGGTTTGTCCCGTCTCCTTCCGAGGGGCCCACAGTCCTTCCTCCCAGCACCCCCAGGGCACCCCGACTCCCTCCTCAGGCCTCTTTCCACGGAGCCCCCCTGACTGACAGGACCCCAGGGGCCTGAGCTGAGCACAGGAGGATGGCCGCTGCCCCCACACCGGGGTGGGGGTGGGGGAGGGGCTGGAGAGAATTTCCTTTCCGCTTTGAAAATACCTTTTCATGTTTCCTTTTATTTATCTACATATTTATATTTCTTTATTGATTTCAGACAGGGAGAGAGAGATAGAAACATCCATGAGGAGAGAGAATTAGTGATCGGCCGCCTCCTGCACGCCCCCCACTGGGGATCAAGCCCGAAACCCAGGCCTGTGCCCTTGGCAGGAACCCTTCAGTCTGGGACCGCTCAGTCCGAAGGCTGATGCTCTGTCCACCGAGCCAAGCCCGCGAGGCTCCCGTTTCCTTTTAAAAGCTCTTAACACACACAGGCATGCTTATCTGCGGAATCCTTTATAGCCAATAAAACGTAAGCATTTTAAGCACGGAGGGAGATGAGTATTTACGAGTATTTAACGCTGTGCACACGTGTGTGACCGCAGCCCCAGCCGAGCCAGATGCACAGGTTCCCTCCCGCCCTGCCCAGCAAGCACCCCCACCCCCACCCCCGCCCCGGGGTGCCCGCTGGCCTAACCGCTCCCTCTCAGGCCTCCTCTCCCTGGTCTGTCTGAGCTCGATCAGATACACACATTCCTGCACACTCCGTCCTGAAGATTATCCTGCAGGAAGCAGGTTCTGGGCCTCTGGGGGCAGCCGCAGCCTGTGCCGCCCGGGGCCACCTGGTGGGGCCGCCCCGTGCTCGGTGGGGCAGTGGCTGCGTGCGGGGCGTGGGTGGCTTCGAGAGAGGCACAGGCAGACTGAGGCCAGCCGCTGCCGGTGGGTGGGGACTTTTAGAAAAGTCCACAGGGCCGGCCCGGGCCTGTCTGCCCGCAATTCAGACTACTTGGATGCCATGCACACGTGGCTGGAGGACTCGCCCAGGAGACCGAGGACTAAGTGGTGTGACGCTGGGCTCAGCAAAGAGTCCCTACAGTCCACACCGCAAGCACAAAGAACAGGAAAGCAAGTTCCACCGGAGCTCATCAGAATGAACGCTCTGGGACTGGGGGACTGGGCGAAAGGGAAGAGATTAGCCCAAGAACACACGTGTTCGATCAATGGGCACAGACAGCAGAGCGGGGGTGGGGGGAGTCTGAGTGGAAGTGGGTAAAGGGGGAGGGACACTATTACACTATCTGTAATAATGTCAACAATAAAAAAATGTTTAAAATATATTTTATTGAGTTTTTACAGAGAGAAGGAGAGAGAGAGGGATAGAGAGTTAGAAACATCGATGGGAGAGAATCATCAATTAGCTGCCTCCTGCACACCCCTACCGGGGATGTGCCCGCAACCAAGGTACATGCCCTTGACAGGAATCGAACCAGGGACCTTTCAGTCCACAGGCCGATGCTCTATCCACTGAGCCAGACTGGTTTTGGCAACGATAAAAAAAATTAAAAAAATTTTGCACTTCAACTACATCATAAGAAAATGAGCCACCGAAACCGGTTTGGCTCAGTAGATAGAGTGTCGGCCTGTGGACTGAGAGGTCCCGGGTTCGATTCCGGTCAAGGGCATGTACCTTGGTTGTGGGCACATCCCCTGTGGGCGGTGTGCAGGAGGCAGCTGGTCGGTGTTTCTCTCTCATCGATGTTTCTAGCTCTCTATCCCTCTCCCTGTAAAAAATCAATAATATATATATATATATAGAGAGAGAGAGAGAAGAAAGAAAGAGAGCCCAGCAGGTGTGGCTCAGTGGCTGAGCATTGACATCTGAATCAGGAGGGTGGAGATCGATTCCCGGTCAGGGCACTTGCCAGGGTTGGGGGCTTGCTCCCCACTGTGGGCGAGCAGGAGGCAGCTGATCAATGGTTTTCTCTCTCATCATTGACATTTCTATCTCTCTATCCTCCCTTCCTCTCTTAAAACACACACACACACACACACACACACACACACACACAACCTAAAGCTAGAAACCCGAAATGCCTGCCAGTGGTGAGTAAAGGATGGTGTGCCCATACAATGAGATTACTCTGCAGTGAACGCGGATGAAATGCTGACACAGTGGCGGCTTGCAGGAGGCAGCAGATCAATTATTCTCATAATTGATGTTTCTCTCTCTTCCTCTTTGAAATCAACAAACTTTTTTTTTTTAAGAGAGGGGTGTGGGTCGGTGGGAGATTCCTGGAGACGGATGCGCTGTCTGCAGGCCGCCGGACCGAGCCTGGACCGGACCCCAGGCCAGCCGCCCCGCTGGCTGGGTCTGAGCACCCAGCGGCCCAGGGGCTCAGCGATCGGGGTGCCGGTTCCCGTCGGGACTCTTCCCGCCCAGGGACCGGGGCCCCGGGGCCGCCACTCACCCGCCGGCGTCCGCAGCAGCTCGGCCATCGCCGCCGAGACCGAGAGAACCGCCGCGCCCCTCGGGGCTGGGACTCTCCGACGCCGACCCGGCGGAGTGACAGCGGGGACCGGCCGAGGCGCAGGGTCCGGGGGACGGTCTGGGCCCGGGGACCCGCCAGGTGGGGCGGGGCCTCCCGTGGGGGCGGGGCCTCCCCAAGGCACCAATGAGGACGCGCCCCTCCCAGCCCCGCCCCCACCCCCGGGAGCTGGCGCCTCCTCGGGCTCCGCCTGCAGAGCCGGGCCCGTCCTGGCTCCTGGGGCTCCGGCCGGTCCCTGCCGCCAGCACCCGCCTCCGCCGGCCGCCACCAGCTCGCCCCGGGGGGCAGCCCCCGCCCCGCCCCGGGGCCCCTCGCTCTCCCGGACCCACGGGCTGCGCCCGCCTGCGAGGCTCTGTCCGGAGAGGCGGCGCCCGGGCCAGACCCGGGGAGGAAGGGACGTCCTGGGGGCCGGAGGGAGGACCCCCCTGCCCCTCCTCCTCCCCTCCCTCCTCCCCTTCTCCTCCCCCATCCTCTCCCCCCCCTCCCCTCCCCTCCCCTCCCCAACCGGCCTGATCCGGCGCCTTTCCAGGGGCTTCTTCTTTTTCTTTTTTTATTTTATCTTATTTTATTTTTTAAAATATATTTTATTGATTTTTTAAAAATATATTTTATTGATTTTTTACAGAAGGGAGAGAGATAGAGAGCTAGAAACATCGATGTGAGACAAACATCGACCAGCTGCCTCTTGCACACCCCCCACCTGGGATGTGCCCGCAACCAACGTACATGCCCTTGACCAGAATCGAACCCGGAACCTTTCAGTCCGCAGACCGACGCTCTACCACTGAGCCAAACCGGTTTTGGCCTTTTTCTTTTTTTAAATATATATTTTATTGATTTTTTTTTTTTTTTTTTTTTTTTTAGAGAGGAAAGGAGAGAGAAACATCCATCAGCTGCCTCCTGCACGCCCCCACTGGGGATGTTCCTGCAACCAAGGTACATGCCCTTGACCGGAATCGAACCTGAGACCCTTCAGTCCGCAGGCTGATGCCCTATCCACTGAGCCAAACCCGTTAGGGCTCCAGAGGCTTCTCTATACTCTTCCGGGCACACCCAGGAAGTGCTAGTGACCTCGCCCCCTTTCCAGGGGAGGAAACTGAGGCAGGGCCGGCGGTGAGGTCAGGCGTCATGTTCAAGTTCGTATTCCTTACTCCCCTGCCTCCACTCACGTTCCGTCATCAGCATTCACTCCCGCCTGCAGCTGCTCTCGGGGCGCAGGGGGGACAGGAGCCTAGTCTGGGGCTCCACGCTCCTCTTCCTGTCCAAGCCCCTCCCGCCTCCCTGCTCCTGGTTCCCCCGGGACTCTGTATCCTGAGGAAGAGGGAATCGCCCCTCCCTCCCCCCAGGAGCAAGGGGTCTGATCCTGCTAGGGGCCCCCCAGCTCTGCCCGGAGCACCCAGGGGGAGGGTACTCCTCACTCCTGGGTTCTGGCACAGGGCTCTGCTCTGCGGAATATAGTGGGGGAAGGGGCTGGGACCTTTGATCGCACTCACTGTCTTAGTGCCTTTCCTGTAGGAGCTCCTGAATCTCCACCTGAACCTGCCTGCAAAAGGGACAGGGCTCAGGCCGGTGGTCGTGGCTCAGTGGTTGAACTTGGACCTGTGAGCCAGGAGGCCCCACTCGGATTCCAGGTCGGATTCCAGGTCAGAGCACCTGCGGAGTGGAGTCGTGGGGCTCCATCCCCAGTAGGGGGCGTGCAGGAGGCGGCCGATCAGTGATTCTCATCCCTCTCCCTTCCTCTCTTGCTCCCTCTCGGCCATCAGTAAAAACATATGTTTTTTAAAAAGGCAGGGACTGCACAGGTGAGCGGAGAGCCAGGGTCTGGCCCGAGGAGACCTGGCCTGGAGGCCACCCCACCGTCACCCAGCACCTGCTGGAGTCCCAAACCCGATTCTTGCCCCATCTCACGGCTTCCCCGCCCTCCCTCCGCCCCAGCTCCGGCCCTCAACGCTGGCTGGGCCTGGGGCAGCTTCTGTCCGGGTGCGTGGAGAACTGGGAAGGGTCTGAGATTTGACCCCACTTGCCAACTAACAGCCTATCCACTGAGCCAAACGGGCTGGGGCTGAAGGACGTCTTGATGGCCTCCACGCGCTGGGCAGTTATGAATAAAATTTCTGTAAACATCCTGGGCAGGCACATGGCTTTTGTTTTCTAAAACACATTTTTTTTCTGGTTTCAGAGAGGAAGGGAGAGGGAGACAGAAACAATGATGGGAGAATCATTGCCCTGCCTCCTGCACGCCCCACCATGGGGATCGAGCCCCAAACCCGAGCATGTGGGCATTAGAGTCGAACCTGGGACCCTTTAGTCCGCAAGCCCACGCGCTATCCACTGAGCCAAACCACCTAGCGCGGCAGGTAAAGGTTTCCAGCTCCGTTAGATAAATCCCAAGGAGCACCACGGCTCCATCCTCTTTGGGAAGAAACAGCCAAACTTTGTTTCGAAAGCGGAGGCTCCATGCTGCGGAAGTTCCCTCCAGCTCCGCCTGAGAGTGACGGAGGGTCCCTGTGGCTGCTCAGCCTGGCCAGCACTCGGGGGCCTGAGTCACGGAGGCCCGACCCTGAGGCCGACCGCGAGGCAGGGCGCAAGCCCCGGTCCCCCCCATCCTGCTTCTCAGGCCTGGCCCTGAGCTCCGGCCCGTGCTTCCCGCCCGGAGCCGGCTGGGCTGTCCTGGGGCGCAGACCAGACAGACAGTGGACAGCAGGGCCAGCGCCCCGCGCGGGGCGCCCGGATGCGGCGGGGGGCGGGGCGAGCGGGCTGGGGGCGGGGCGGGCGGGCTGGGGGCTGGGATGCGTCCGGAGGCGGGACTAGCGGGTCGCTGACCTGTCCGGCCCCGCTCGTGGCGGCCGGCCTTCCGTCCGGCGCATCCGCTCGCCCCGGCGCCGGACCGCGGGTGCGCGCGGAGGCCCTGGCGCGGTGAGCCGAGCCGCTCCCGCTCTCCGGGTCGGGTGAGCCCCTGGTCCGCCCTGACGCCGGCCCGGCCGAGGGGTGAGTGCGCACCCCGCAGGGTCCGCGGTGCCCCCTCCGCCCCGCCCTGCGCGCCCCGCGCTCGGCCCGGCTCCTGGGCGCGCCCCGGGCTGGGGCGGCTGGGCTCGGGCCTGGCTCTGCGTCCACGGAGCGGCCCGGCGTCTTGGGCCCGGAGGGGAGAGGGGTAGCGGAACCGAGGAGGGGAGGGAACCGAGGCCCGCGGAGGGCGGCCGGGGGAGCGGGTGCCGGCGGCCACCGGGTGGGCGGACTGTTGTGGGGTTGAACCCTGGAGCCAAAATAAGACCACCGGAGGCTGCTGATGGATTTAGAAAAGCAGCAGGAGTTATTGAACTGGCCAGGACAGAACGGCCGCGAGAGCGCCACACCCAGGTGGCCACACTCAGGACCGCGCCGTTGCAGGTGCAGGCAGTCCTTTTAAAGGTCCAAACCACAGACATTTCCCTCTGCTCTAAATTCTAAATTCTAAATGCTGGGAACGTCCCCGCCACATCCTGCTGGACGCTGGGATGTGGACGGGCCTCTCTGGCGATAGCGGTACAGAAGCAGAGCTGAGCGAGCACCCTCTAACCGTTATCTGCAGTTCCTGCTCCTGGAGCTGCTGAGCCCGTGGGGATCCATCTCCTGTGGTCCTGGGCCTGTGGTCCTGGGCCGCGGGCACAGGAAAACTGCCTTAGCCTCCAGGTCTCCGTCTGGAAGCTGAGGCAACTACCCCATTGTTTAGGCAAGTAAGCGAGTGCCAGAGCCAGAATAACAGGGCTAAAATTCAAACAGCAGCCCTAACCGGTTTGGCTCAGTGGATAGAGCATTGGCTGTGGACTGAAGGGTCCCAGGTTCGATTCTGGTCCAGGGCATGTACCTTGGTTGAGAGCACATTCCCAGTGGGGGATGTAGAGGAGACAGCTGATCGATATTTCTCTCCCGATATTTCTAACTCTCTTTCCCTCTCCCTTCCTCTTTGTAAAAAAAAAAAAAAAAAAAAAAAAAAAAAAAAAATTCAAACAGCAGTTTTTACCTAAGTTTGGTTGCTACTGTACTTCAGGGACCCCGCCGGGCTGCCTGGGGCCCTTGGTTGCTGTGATCCCGACTGAGCCTAACCCTAACCCTTCCCTGTGCGTCACCCTCAGGGGCAGTGCGTGTTGTCCTTCCTCCCCGCTCACCCAGCCCCTGCACCCGGGAGCTCCCGAGGCTGGGGTGACTCCTGTACTGAGCCGGCGAGAGCCCGAGCGGCCCCTGCAGGGCCAGGCCTCACCCCCGGGGGAGTGCGCCCGCCTCCCGCTGGGCCCGCCGCCTCTGGACCGGCCCGGCCGTGTGTGGGCTGTGCGGCTCCTGTCCTCACTGTCGCTCTCGGATTCTCCAAGTCCTGCCTACACGCTGGCTCTCGCGCTGTCGCCCAGGCTGGGGGCCCTCTTCGCACCCTTGTGGGGGGAGTTTTGAGGGAGACCTGAGAGGCCGGGCTGGGGGGCCACGGCGCTGTCTCTGGGTGAAGAGGGGCAGTGTCTCTGGGTGAGGAGGGGCAGTGTCTTTGGGTGAAGAGGGCGCTGTCTCTGAGGAAGGAGCATCTCTTTGCAGGACAGAGGCTCTGAGAGAGGAGGGCTGATTGGCCCGGCACACCCTTCCCCCACGGCTGCCTGGAGGGGGCTGCACCGCCATGCGCTGCCGCAGACTGGCCCTGGGCCTGGGCTTCTGCCTGCTGGTGGGCACCGTCCTCTGCACTCTGTGGTGAGCATGCCTGGGGAGCCCTCCAGCACCCTCTCAGACTCCCCTCTGGGCATCTCGGCCCCCCCATACCTGACCTGTCCAGGGATGCCCACCTCTCCGGGTCCCCCACCCCCAGGAAGACCGATCGAGGCTCTGGATTTTGCCTGGGACTGGCCTTAGCACTGCCCTTCCCTCTGCCTCACCGTCCTTCCGGCCCCGATGGCCAGGAACTCCTGTTGGTGCCCCCAGTTCGCCCTGTGCGTTCCTGGGGTGTTCCCCGGGCCACCCCTCACCACACGTGCCCCCTCTGTGTGCAGGGCTGGGGTCGGAGGGATGAGTGACTTCAGGGGTGACTTGTGCCTGCATGCTGGTCCACCAGGAGGCTTTGTCCCCCGCGGTCAGCCAGACCAGGCGCCGTGGGGGCCACAGATGCTCCCCCGGGCCTTGGCTCCCACCGGGGTGCGGCAAGGGGGCCTAGCCTTGGGGGACCTCGAACCGGCGGTGTTTTTCCTTCCCAGGGCCTATGCCGACAGCTGGCTGCCATTCTCCTACATCCCCTACTACCTTCCCTGCCCGGAGATCTTGTAAGTCCGGGGCAGGGAGGATTGGGGCGCCGTGGGTGGCACGGAGTGGGGAGATGGGAGTTTAAGGTCCCTTTGTCTGCAGGGGCTGGGTCCTCAGCTCACATCAGTATGACCACGAAAGGGAAGTTTAAAACCGGAAGCACAGGCTGTCCATGAACTGTTTGTTACCATGGAAACATTGACTGTTGCCTGGCCAGGCGGCTCAGGGGGTTGGAGAGTCCTCCCCAGCACCCAAAAGGTGGTGGGCGCAGTTCCAGTCAGGGCACATGACTATGCCGTGGGGGTTCAATCCCCCGACGGGGTGTGTGGGAGAGGCAACTGATGGATGTTCCTCATGTGGCCGTTTCTCTCTTCCTCTCAAATCAATAAAAACAGCACTGGCAGGTGTGGGTCAGTGGTTAGAGCATGGGCCCTTGCACAGAAGGGCTGCAGGATTTTTGTTTTTAATATATTTTATTGATTTTTTTTTTTAAATAGAGAGGAAGGGAGAAGGACAGAAAGTCAGAAACATCCACTGAGCCAAACTGGTTCTGGCAAGCTGCAGGTTTATTTTTTTTTAATTTAAAAAAATATATATTTTATTGATTTTTTACAGAGAGGAAGGGAGAGGGTTAGAGAGCTAGAAACATTGATGAGAGAGAAACATTGGCCAGCTGCCTCCTGCACACCCCCACCGGGAATGTGCATGCCCTTGACGGGAATCGAACCTGGGACCTTTCAGTCCGCAGGCTGACGCTCTATTCACTGAGCCAAACCAGTCCCAGTGAAGATTAAGAACTTTGTGGCCACAGAATAGAGTAAATGAGGAAGCTGGAAAACAGAAAAGACTCAGGAAAAGCCCTCTTGGGTGCCCCTGAGCTGAGTTTTGCTCGTTTCCAAGTCCCTCGGCAGCTTGTGGATTGCTGCGCTTCCTGACAGAACACACTGGGCATCTCGCTGGTTCTGAAAGCACAGAGGCTACTTGCCGTTGAGAACGGCTGTGACCTCCGATGAGAGCCAGTGACATGGGAGCCGTCCACGGCACCTCCCAACAGTCTCCCGACAGACAACCGGAAGCCCTGCAGCCGCCGGCCTCACCGGTGAACCTCACCAAACACCCCAGGGACGGACACCTGCCTCCACCCGCCCCAACAGACCCAGCTCACCTTGTGAGGCCAGCATAACAAATTTTATCTCATTGCAAACCAGATAAAGACACGTCAGAGAAAGAGGATTACAGGCCTAAAATCCTAAACAAAATATAAACAGACCGGATGCGGCAATAGATTAAAAAGGTCACCCACCATGGCCAAGTGGGGTTTACTGCGGGGATGCGAGGCCGGGACACTACTGAAAACAGGAAAGTTTTTGGATAGAGCGTCGGCCTGTGGACTGGAAGGGTCCCAGGTTCGATTCTGGTCAAGGGCATGTACCTTGGTTGCGGGCACATCCCCAATAGGAGGGTGTGCAGGAGGCAGCTGATTGATGTTTCTCTCTAACTCTCTCTCTCCCTCTCTGTAAAAAACCAATAAAATATATTAAAAAAAAAAAAAAAAAAGTTCCAGGAACTCGCAGGGAACACACACACACACACACACACACACACAAAGAAAGAAAGAAAGAAAGAAAACAGGAAAGCTGTGATGGTAATGTGTTTGAGATGTTCATCCTGTTCCCAGAAATGGTGTTACTTTCCGGCCTGTGTCCGGCCTTCGGGTCACATCAGTTCATTCCCCGGGGCCCGGCTCCTGGTGCCCAGGGAGCTGAGTGAGCTCGTCCCGAGCGGCTTTGGATGTGAAGCTTTTGCCTTTTTCAAGGCCTTTCTGCTGTTAATCCTCACCTGGGGAGATTTTCCCATTGATTTTAAAAAAATATATATTTTTATTGACTCTTTACAGAAAGGAAGGGAGAAGGTAGAGAGTTAGAAACACTGATGAGAGAAATATCTATCAGCTGCCTCCTGCACGCCCCCTATTGGGGACCTAGCCTGCAACCAAGGTACAAACCTTCGACCAGAATCAAACCCGGGACCTTTCAGTCCACAGCCCAATGCTCTATTCACTGAGCCAAACCGGTCAGGGCTCCATTGATTTTTTTTTTAGAGAGAGTGGGAGGGGGAGAGACAGAGAGAGAAACATTGATGTGAGAGAGACATCGATTGGTTGCCTCCTGCGTGTGCCTGAGCAGGGCCAGGGAATCAAGCTTGCAATTGAGGCACCTGCTCTTGGTCAGAATTGAATCTGGGACCCTTTAGTCTGCAGGCCGACGCTCTACCCACTGAGCCACACCGGATAGGGCAGGGGAGGTTCTTGATCCTGTGGGTTTGTTGGGACGGTTTTTTAAGGCAGGTGTCCGTCGTTGAATGATTGGTGAAGGTCACCTGTGAGGCTGTCTTCTATTTGTCTTGTCAGGCTGCTTTCTGGAAGGGCCCGAGCACCCTCTCCCTTCTCCCCCCCCCCCCCCCCCCACTGCCCCTGGGCCCTGACTGGCAGGACCAGGAGCTAGAAAAACTTAAGAGCAAGCCTTCCCCCCATCCCCCGGATCGCCCCCAGGCCCTTCCCGCAAGCTCCATGGCTCCCTCCTCCTCTCCCAGCACCCTGGCCGAGCAGTTTGGCTATATTTTTTTCCCTCCAGTTTGCCCATCTTTGGGTTTTCCCAAGTTATTTTTCTGGACACCAACCAGCCTGCCACTCGGTGAGCCTGGACAGATGCTTCGGTCGCAGCCCAGCCCCTGCAGAGCGGGCAGAGCCCTAGGGAAGGTTCCGGATGGTGCCCCGTGGGTGCTGGGTTAACCTTAGCTCTGTTCTGCCTCCGGCTGACACTGACGGCTCTCTCACCTCTGCCCACAGCAACATGAAGCTGCAGTTCCGGGGGGAGAAGCCGTTCCAGCCCGTGGCCCGGTGAGCAGCCTGTCCTCCCAGCTTTGTGGCCCGGGGTGGGGTGGGGCGGCTGCCCTCACCATGGCCCTTCTCGGTCGCAGGGCGCAGTATCCTCAGCCGAAGCTGCTGGAGCAGAGGTAGGCGCTGCCTGGGGCCTGGGTGCAGCTGGGAGGCGGGGAAGAGCTTTGTAGCTATCACCTGGGGATGCTGAGGCCCAGACACGGGGACGAAGCCGCCCGGGGTCGCAGGGCGTGGCTGGCAGGGCCCAGGCGAGCCTACGGTGCCCACGGGGAGGGTCTCACGCCCTCGGCCGCCCCTGCTGCCAGGCCCACCGAGCTGCTGACGCTCACGCCCTGGCTGGCGCCCATCGTGTCCGAGGGAACCTTCGACCCCGAGCTCCTGCGGCTCATCTACCAGCCGCTGAACCTGACCGTCGGGCTCACCGTGTTCGCCGTGGGGAAGTGAGTGGCGGGCCGGGCGGGGCAGGCCAGTCCCCTCTGAGCCCCGACCAGGGGCTGTGCAGGGGGAGGCGGGGAGGAGGTGAGCCTGGGACAGGGCTTCTGGAGGAAGGGGGCCTGGCCCTGCAGGGAAGGGGGAGGGGGCAGCCCAGGAGAGGGGACAGCAGAAGCCCGTGTCAGAGACCCCTCCCCCCTCCACTTTTCCTGGTCAGGCAGGTGTGAAGGAGTAGACGCCCGCTAGGCCAGTGGTCAGCAAACTCATTAGTCAACAGAGCCAAACAGCAACAGGACAACCACTGACATTTCTTTTGAGAGCCAATTTTTTAAAAAATTTTATTTTATTTATTATTATTTTTTTAAATCAATCTTTATTGTTCATATTATTACAAAGGTTCCTCATTTCTTCCCCCCTCCACCAGGTTCCCGCCCCACCCTCCGCCCCCTCCCCATCCCCCATTGTCCTCATCCATAGGTGCAGTTTATGTTCAGTCTCTTCTTCCCTCCCTTTCCCCGATAGTAAATCCCTTTTCAGATAGTAAATCAGTTACTTAGCATTTTCTCATATCAATAATACCTCCACATGCCCAATGATACACTTCACACAAAAGACATTTCCCAATAGGTCCACCAGCCTCATCCAGGCCCCACCCAGGCACTCACAGATCAACACCCCCACCCTATACTAACTCAACACATCCAGATCTAAGCCTTCATCACTTGATTCAGCAGACCCTCAAGTTCCCACGAAAGTTTCCAGCCATGTCTGAGAAGCAGCCGTGGGGCAGGGGCAGGCAAGGAGCGAGCTGTTCTGGGCCTGGCTGCTCAGGGCCTGGCCTCTGTTGCTCTGGTTCATTCCACAACCAGCTGCTCCGGGTCTGGTCACTGCCGCTCCCGACCTAGTTGCTCTGGACTTGGCTGTTGCTGCTCCGGGCCTGGCCACTCCCAGCCTGGCAGCGGCTGCTCCGGGCCTGGCCGCACCCGACCCGGCAGCGGCTGCTCCGGGCCTGGCCGCACCCGACCCGGCTGCTCTGGGCCCGGCCGCTCCGAGCCTGGCCACTCCCGGCCTGGATGCTCTGGACTTGGCTACTGCTGTTCTGGGTCTGGCTGCTCCCACCCCGGCTGCTCCCACCCCGGCTGCCCTGGGCCTGGCCACTCCGGGTCTGGGTGTTCCTGGACTGGCCACCCTGGGCTTGGCCGCCTCCGCCTCAGGCCTGGCTGCCACTGCCCCAGGTCTGGCTGCTCCAGTGCTGGCTGTTGATGCTCTGGTTCTGGCTGCTGCTGCTCTGGGGCCTGGCCGTTGCTGCTCCGGGCCTGGCTGCCACTGCCTTGTGCCTGGCCACTCTAGGCCTGGCCGCCGCTGTTCCAACATTCTGTCCTTTTTTTTTTTTTTTTTTTTTTTAACGCATTTATGTTGCAATGTTGGCTGGTGAGTTGAGTTCTGACTTAGTCTTTGATTTTTCAAGAACTTCTTTGTATTCTTTCTTAAGTAATTTTACTATCTTTTGCTCTCACTTGATTTCTTCACATTGAGAACTTCTTTGATTTCTTCCTCCTTGTCCTTAGAGCTCAGCAGGTTGGCCTGTGGCACCCCTTTGTTTTCCGCGGGCTCCTGCGCTGCTTTAGCCGGTTGCCGGGGACGGCGCCGCCCAGGAAGCAGCCCCCGGCCTTGGCTCCATTGCCCGCGCTCAGCGGTGGAAGGCTCAGGGGCACAACCCCCCTCCAGGGGCCCCGTTGCCCGGAGAGCCAATTTAAAAAAAAAAAAAAAATATTTTATTGATTTTGTACAGAGAGGAAGGGAGAGAGATAGAGAGCTAGAAACATCGATGAGAGAGAGTCATTGATCAGCTGCCTCTTGCACACCCCCTACTGGGGATATGCCCGCAACCAAGATACATGCCCTTGACCGGAATCGAACCCGGGACCCTTTGGTCCCCAAGCCGACGCTCTATCCATTGAGCCAAACCGGTTTCGGCGAGAGCCAATTTTTTTAAACTTAAACTTCTTCTAACGCCGCATCTTCAACATAGACTCACCCAGGCCATGGTATTTTGTGGAAGAGCCACACTCAAGGGGCCAAAGAGCTGCCTGTGGCTTGTGAGCCGCGGTTTGCCGACCTCATAGCAGTGGGGGTCCATGGGCAGGCCCCGCCCTCTGCTGCCAGCTCTCTGGGTTTCTCCTGTCTTCCTCTCCTCCCACCAGCTGGCAGCTTCCCTCTCGGTCCCTTTCCTCTCTGGACGCCACGTCTCTGCCTGTACGGTGGGTGACTGTGGGAGCCCATGGGCCCGGCCGGCAGGTGCTCAGTGAGCGTGAGATGGGCTCGTGATGGGGCTCAGCAGCCCTCGTCATTCTTCAGGGGCAGGGCTATGATGGTGGCATGTGACAGACGAGGACCCTAGGGTTAGAGTGAGGGACCGCTCACGGTGGGGAGCGGAGGGTGCCCATCCCGGCCGGCTCCGGCCCCGTGCGGCGCCAGCTCGCCGTGGGGGCCTGGGCGGGCGCCGCGGGCCACCGGGATGACGGGCTCTTGCACCAGGTACCTGGGCTTCGTGCAGCACTTCCTGGAGTCGGCCGAGCAGTTCTTCATGCAGGGCTACCGGGTGAGCTACTACGTCTTCACCGACGCGCCCGCCGCGGTGCCCCGGGTGCCGCTGGGCCCGGGCCGCGTGCTCCGCGTCCTGCCCGTGCAGAGCCACGCCCGCTGGGAGGAGGTCTCCATGCGCCGCATGGAGGCCATCAGCCGGCACATCGCCCAGCGGGCGCACCGGGAGGTGGACTACCTCTTCTGCGTGGACGTGGACATGGTGTTCCGGAACCCCTGGGGCCCCGAGACCCTGGGCGACCTGGTGGCCGCCATCCACCCCGGCTACTACGCTGCGCCCCGCCGCCAGTTCCCCTACGAGCGCAGGCACGTCTCCACCGCCTTCGTGGCGGACGGCGAGGGGGACTTCTACTACGGCGGGGCCGTCTTCGGGGGCCGGGTGGACAGGGTGTACGAGTTCGCCCTGGGCTGCCACATGGCCATCCTGGCGGACAAGGCCAACGGCGTCATGGCGGCCTGGCAGGAGGAGAGCCACCTGAACCGCCGCTTCATCTCGCACAAGCCCACCAAGGTGCTGTCCCCCGAGTACATCTGGGACGACAGGAAGCCCCGGCCCCCCGACCTGAAGCTCATCCGCTTCTCCACGCTCGACAAGAACGCCCGCTGGCTGCGCAGCTGACAGTAGAGCTGGGGCTGCCGGGGACGGGGAGCACCCAGCTCACCCCAGGGAGCACCCAGCTCACCCCAGGGAGCACCCAGCTCACTCCAGAGGAGCACCCAGCAGGCCCAGGGAGCATCCAGCTCACCCCAAAGAGCACCCAGCTCACCCCAGGGAGCACCCAGCAGGCCCAGGGAGCACCCAGCTCACCCCAAAGAACACCCAGCTGCCCCAGGGAGCACCCAGCTCACTCTAGAGGAGCACTTAGCCACAGCAAAGCACCTAGCTCACCCCAGGGAGCATCCAGCAGCCCCAGGGAGCACCCAGCTCACCCCAGAGGAGCCCCCAACTCCAGGGGAGCACCCAGCAGCCTGAGGGAGCACCCAGCTCTCCCCAGTCAGTGCCTCACTTCCCAAGCCTTAGCTGAGACCTGTCCTGTGCGGCCGCCTCCCTGTCAGGGAGATCCAACTGGAAAGCGGCATGGAAGGGCCTTTAAAACGGTGAGGGCTGTGCCCACTGAGAACGCAAACCTAAGGGGGGCCGGGAGGGGTGGCCCGTGGTGAAGAGGGCAGGCCCAGAGCTCCCAGCAGGCGTGCCTTCGTGGGGCTCTGCGCTGCCTGCTCAGCCGTGTCCCACTGCCCCCTCTGCTGCCTGCTGCCTTCGCGGTCACCTGTCCCCGCTGGCTGGGAAGGGTGTTCAGGCCCCCTCTCCTCCAGCTGCAGGGCTCCAGCCCCGACCCAGGACCCTCGCTGGTTTCCGGTCCAGCTGCACCCACGCCCCATGGCGGCCCCTCCCTGGCACTGCCGCCTCTGCTGTCGGGAGGTCAGAGTTTTAATAAAGGCGGCGGGTGCCAGGCCCTCACCAGGCTTCACCCGTGCCTCTGAGAGCGCCTTGGCCATGGTGAGGAGCGATGGGGGGCAGGAAGGGTGCGCCCCAGCCATATCCGGGTGAGCACCCGCCCCGGAGACGCTGGTGCCACCCCAGAGCCCGCTCCCGCAGCACGTGGTCCGTCCGGCCGGTGAGCAGAAGGGCAGACCGAGGGCCCCGAGTGAGGAGAGAGCCTGGGCTGGAGGGCCCTGGGGTTCTTCCGCGCAGGGACAGGGTGGGCCCGCGGCCTGTGCGTCCCCGGTGGGTCTCGGCCTGCCCTCGGGAGGCAGGTCTGAAGCAGGCTGTGTTGAAGGAGCAGGCCTTGCCCCACTGCGGGCCCTGCCCCGGCCAGTCTGACCCCAGAGGCAGTGTTCGCACCAGAGCCCGAGCCCACCTTGTCTGTCCTTTTGACCCTCGCTTACAGTGCGTCTTCAGAACCACCGGCTAGTGTTGCTCAGTGGTTGAGCATTGACCTATGAACCGGGCAGTCATGGTTTGATACCCGGTCAGGGCACATACCAGGCTGTGGGCTTGATCCAATGATTCTAGCTCATCATTGATATTTCTGTCTGTCTATCTCTCCCTCCCTTCATCTCTGAAATCAATAAGAATATATATTAAAATTAAAAAAAAAATAACTTCAGAAATCCCAAACGGATCTGTCCTGGCAAGACTGGCACCTGTAACTCAGACGTGATCTTGTCAGGTGGGGGCTGGGCCTGTCTCCAGCCCTCCCCGCTCCCCACTCCCCCCACCCCTTCATCCTCTCCAGGAGCACCCGGCCCGGCCCTCAGCTCCTTTTAGGGGAGAGCCCGGCCCCGGGCTAGGTTCCAGGAGTTGGGTTCGGTGGGTGGTTTCTAAGGGCCAGGCCCTGGGGGGGACCATAGTGCCCAGGGGCGTGGCCCAGGCTGGGAGTGGGGCTGGGCTTTCCGCCCTCCTGGCCAGGGAGCCCCAACAGGAGACACAGCCTCTGGTGTCAGCGCGGGCTCAGGGATGCAAAGAGCAATGATTCTGAGCTCCCCCCCATCCCCTTCACAGCTGGAGCTGGTCACTCAGAGCTGAGAGGTCCTCAGTACCCGGGTCACCGCGCATCCATAAAGTGGGTGACAGCACTGAGGGTCCAGGGGGCTCCCCAGTAACCGTACCCCCAGCTCTGGCCCATCCGGGGTGGCGCTGTCTCCCCCACGGCCCCTCAGCCCTCTTCCTCCAGCCAGGGGTCTGGGTCCTGCCAGGAAGAAGGGGGAGGGGACCAGGAGAGGTGGAAGGGGCGGCCTCACCTCGCTGCCTACTGGCGTCCACTCCCATTCAGGCCCCCGGGCCGGCCATCCACCAGCCACCTCTGCAGGCGCCAGGCGGGGCCGGCACGATCGGGCCGGGTGTCCATGCGATGCCTCCGGTGTCTGCACGGCCCCGCGCCGGCGGACTCAGCCCGGCGGGGTTTGGGAGGTTCTGAGGTCCAAAGGGGGCGCAGGGAGCCCGCCGGGGGCCGCGAGCCCGGGTGGCTGCGCGCGGCGAGGGGGCTCCTGGGCACGCGCGTCCCCGGCCCGAGCGCGCGCCCGGCGGATCGCAGGCCCGGAGCCCGGAGCCGCAGCCCGGAGCCCGGAGCCCGCAGCCCGGAGCCCGCAGCCCGCAGCCCGCAGCCCGCAGCTCGGAGCCCGGAGCCGCAGCCCGGAGCCCGCAGCCCGGAGCCGCAGCGCGGAGCCCGGAGCCCGGAGCCCGCAGCCCGCAGCCCGCAGCCGGAGCCGGGAGCCCGCAGCCCGAAGTCCGGAGCCCGCAGCCCGGAGCCCGGAGCCACAGCCCGCAGCCCGCAGCCCGGAGCCCGGAGCCCGGAGCCCGGAGCCCGCAGCCCGCAGCCCGCAGCCCGCAGCCCGGGACCGGGGCCGGGGCCGGGGAGGCAGTGCGCGCCCCCAGCTCGCGGGCCCGCCCCCCGCACCTGCGGCGGCGGCGGGTTGGGCGGGCGGCGGGCGGGGCGGGGCCTGGCTGACCCGCCCACCGGCGGCCGGAGCCCGGGCGGAACCGAGCGGCGGGCCCCGCGGCCGCGGGCGCAGACAATGGGCGCGGCGCGGGCGGCTCCCCGGCGGCGGGGACGGGCGGCCGCGCCATGAGCCCCGCAGCCGGGCGCCCCCCGGTGCGGCGCGCGGGCCGAGGCGAGCGGCCGCTGCGGGTCCCGGGCGCCCCCCGGGGCCGGCGATGCGCCGCCGCGGCCGAGGATGATGGTGGATTGCCAGGTGAGCCCGGCGCGCGGGGGGAGGCCGCGGCCGCCACACCCATCCGGCGGGAGGGCGCGCTCCGCGTCCACGCCCCGCGCGCGCTTACGCAGTTCCGCGTCCAGCCCCTCCGGGCACAGTGGGGAAACTGAGGCCCGGGGCGCGGGGGGGTTGGGGGGGGCTCCGGCCTCCGGGGCCAGCCTCCGCTCTCCCGTGGGGTTTCCTTGGGGAATGAGGTCTCCGAAGGCCCTGCGGGAACCCCTGTGCACCCCTCCTTCGCGGGGCCCTTCCTCCGGGCATCCCCACGTGGGCACAGGCGCGTGCACGCGCAGCGACTTCACAGGTGGGGCCTGGAGTGTGTGCAGAGGAGGGCGCAGGTGACAGGGGAGCGGGAGGCTGGGGGCATCCGGCCATGAGGCGCCTCTGGTCCCCTAACGTCACTCCTGGGCCCATAACCTGTGGAGGGAGAGGTGCCAGGCCGATGCCAGGGGCCCTAAAGGTGCCCTGGGCCATGGAGAGGGCTCCTGGAACTAGGAGGAGACCCCCTCCCCACAGGAGAACAGGCCTGAGCCTGTTTCGCTATAAGCTGGCTGCACAGATGGTGGGAACCCAGGGTCCCACCGGCCCCCGGAGGAGTCTGTTGTCCCCGGCTCTCCACCCGCTGTGCTCCGAGTCCGTGGGACATCTCCTCCCCGGAGGTCCTCTGAGCAGCCCGGGCGGAGGGTCCTGGGACCTGGGTGGCAGAACACGGCAGAGCTGGGCTCTCCTCTGGGGACCACGGACAAGGCCATCCTCGCAGGAGCCTCGGGGTCTTCATTTGGAAGTGGGTCCGGAGTTACTGCCCTGGCGGGTGAGGCGGCCTCATGAACGAGCTAGACACCAGGAGAGTGGGGGGAGAGGGGGACGAGAGAGGGTCCTGGGGTCGCAGGCATCGCTCCCTGAGCTCGCAGGCCCTGTTCCTCTGCCCTGGGTGACAGGGAGAGCCGCTGCCTTGACTACGGCCAAACAAAGGTGTGTGTTTTGTTTTCTGGTTGTCTTGCCTGGGGCTGCAGTGCTGGGGATGACCGCCAGGGGGCGGGCTGTGCTCACTGGAGCCGCGGGTGCCGGGAAGGGACGCCCAGGGGTCATTCTGGGCATCGGGCTGCGTCGGACACAGCATGCACCTGGCATGACTGGTCTCCATGTCCACAGTGTGAGCTGCTCAGAGGCGGGAGGAGTGCCGAGACCCTCTTGATTTCCAGTTTCTGCGCCCCCACAGCACGCACCCTGAGCAGGAGCCCGCCTGGCCCCTGCCCTCCCGGAGCTCAGCCTGGAAGGGCAGATGGACAAGAGCACAAAGGCAGACCCTGTGGGAAGGAAGCGCGGTGCTGGGGTCAGGGAGCAGGTGCGGAGGGAGGGCGGGGCCCTAGGAGGGCCTAACGGCCTCCAGGTGACATTTATGCTGTGACCCCCGGGACGAGAGGGGCCGCCCTGCACAGGTCTGGGGACAGGGTGTGGCTTGGGGGAGAGGGGGGCGCTCAGGTGGGAGACTCTGAGAAGGTGTCCGTGGTCAGGGTTGGTACGAGGAGGTGCAATGCTGAGGAGGAGGGGCGGGGAGCAGAGATGGGCTCAGTGGGGCTGCTTTAACCAAGTACCGCAACTGGGTGTCTCAACACAGAAGTGCCCGGCTGGTGTGGCTCAGTGGTTGAGCGTCAACCTGTGTATCAGAAGGTCACGGTCAGGGCACAGGCCCGGGCTGCAGGCTCGACCCCCAGTGGGGGGCGCGTGCAGGAGGCAGTCGATCGACGACTCTCTCTCATCACTGATGTTTCTCTCTCTCTCCCTCTCCCTTCCTCTCTGAAATCAATTGCAAAAAAGAAAAAAACAAAACCCCCAGAAGTTTCTTCTCTCTCAGTTCTGGAGGCCAGGAATCCAAAAATCAGGCGTGGGCAGCGCCGTGCCTCTCTGCAGGCTCCGGAGGCGGGACCTCCTGCGTCTTCTCCTGCCGCGGCGGCCGGCTCCCTAGTGGTCTTGCCTCTGGGCCGCCCCACACGCTGCTCCCCCTGCACCTGGCCTCCGTGTCTGTGTCCACTTTCCCCTCGTCCTCTGAAGACACCAGCCCCCTGACCTTGGTGAGGAGCCCCCGAATCCAGTGTGACCTCACCTTAACCTGGTTGCGTCTGCCAAGGCCCCGTTTCCAAACAAAGCCTTCCTCCCAGTGCGGGCGTCAGGGTCCTGGCCTGTCTTTGGGGAGGAGGAGGCGGGGCACAGTTGGGCCCCCAGCAGGGACAGGAGTGATTCCCTCCTGGGGGCAGGCACCCCCTGGCCTCAGGGGCAAGCGGAGCCGCTGGGTCTGAGGCGTCGCTGGTATCCTCAGGCAGCGGGGGGCAGTGGGGGTAAGGGGAGCCCGGGGTGCCCTCAGGGACAGCTGCTGCCCTGGAGCAGCGCCAGCAGGTGGCGCTGTGACCCGGGGCCACCCAGCGAGGCTGTGAGCGGCGGGCGGCCGCTGAGACTATAAGCTCTCACCTTCCCGTTGCCAGGAGACAGACACTCAGCTGTCAACAGAGCGGAGCACAGTCATTTCAGGGTGACAAACTCCGGAGGAGGTCAGAGGGGTGGGGCAGGGTTTGGGTTAGGGTTAGGGTGGGGGCCCGGCGGGATGGTCCCCTCCTGCAGCTGCAGGCTGAGCCGGCTCTTCTCGGAGGGTCCGGTCCTGGCTCCCTCCCTTCCCGGCAGCTCTCCGGTTAGCGCGGGGTGGGGCGGGGCGGGGTGGGGTGTGTCCCTGGTGGGATGGGTGGCCTGTGGGGCAGGCAGGTGGAGATGGAGGGGGTCCTTCCCCAGGGACCTGCCCCTCAGTGGGGCACTGCTGCTTGATTCCCCTGTTCGCCTGGAGGTTCCCCCCGTCCTCCTGGACAAAGCAGGGAGGCCCCTGGGTCCCCACTGCAGCGTGGGTATCAGCAAGGGAGCTCAGTCCTGGAGTGGGGCATTCCTCACTGTGACCACTGGGCGCCTCTCCCGATGACCTCAGGGCACTGGTTCGAGCGACAGATCCTGATGGAGGGCCTCTGGGCGGCCCGGCGGAGGGCTCGGCTCTGTCAGAGGGCACGAGGCCATGGAGCGGGCTGTGGGCACGGGCTGTGGGCACCGGGATACAGGAGAGCCGCTGGCGGAGCCTGGCGCCCGGCTGTGGGCCACGCTCCGGGGGGAGCCTCCTGGCCGCTCAGCCTCTCCTGTGCCCTGGACGGGCCTGGCTGGCCGCTGGCCCAGAGGGTCTCCCTGAGCCTGGCCTGGGGCTGCCGTGCTCCTTGGCGCCTGGAGACAGGTGCCACCGCCATCCTCAGGGCAGAGGGGAAAACGAGGCACGGGAAGGCGAAGGGACCCCCGCTGCTAAGCAGTGGCAGGGCTGGTGGGCGAGCCCCTGGGGCAGACAACCTGGCCGGGGTGGGCCTGGGTGCCAGTGAGCGCCCAGCGGCCAGGGCTGGGCAGGCCCCGAGGCGGCGGTTCGCCCTGGGCGTGGAGGCGAAAACAGGCTAATGAGCCCCTGCCGTGCGCTCCCCGCGCTAATGAGGGCCTTGGCTCTGCCCTCAGCGTGCCCAGGGCCGGGCAGGCGGTGGGGCAGGCGGTGGGCAGGTTCTGGGGCAGGTTCTGGCTTTGAACCTCAAGCGTCTTCTCTGCGGTCACAGCTGGGGGAGGGTGTTGGGGGGGGGGGGAAGGAGCATGCGCCCAGAGCCTCCTCCCAGGGCAGCCACGCCAGGGAGAGGGCATCCCCCTAAAAAGGACAAGCCCTGGAAGGGAGAGTTTCCACAGCAACCCAGAGCAGTTGCTTAGCAACTACAGGACCCCAAAATACTTGCCTGCGGGAAGGCTCAGGGCGTGGGGCTTTCCGACGGCCCCGTGTGCGGACCTCGGCAACTCCTGGCTGATCCGCCCCCTCTCAGCCCCTCCTCCCCCGGCCCCTGCGTGCTTCCTGGGGAAACCCCCAGCCAGCTCCCCGCTCCCCATCGCCCCACTCTGAGCGAGCCACCTGGCACCAGGCCAGTCCCCTAGCAACAGAGGCTGTTTCCTGGATGCCCGAGTGACAGGTGACAGGATGGGGCCGGAGGTGGTCAGCTGCCAGAGGGAACTGAGATGCTAAAATCTGGGAGTGCTGTCCCCACCCCCCGCTGCTCCCTGAGTGGCGTGGGCTGGCAGGACCAGGCGGCTAGCTGCTCACCGCCTGCCTGGTCGCCTCGCCTGCGCACTCAGGGATACCCAGGTGTGTGAGATGTTCCGGGAACGGCTGGCACCTGTCACCAGCAGGCCCGCTGCAGGGGGCAGGGGTGTCTGCCCCTCGGTGGAAAGCGGACGGCCCTGTGGCCGCCGGCCCTGGAGGGGGGCAGCCTGGACTGCTCCTGGGGAGCGGGGCGCGGGCCTGGGCTGAGTCCACGTTCTCCCAGGGGGAGCCGGGGCCCAGGGAAGCGGAGCACTCCGCCCAGGGCAGGTGAGCCCACTTGGACGCCCACGCCCCGAGGCCAGGGTGCCGGGCCTGAGCCCCGCAGGCTGTGCCAGCAAGGAAGTGGCCGGGGTGCCCTTTGACCCTCTGGTTGCTCAGGGTGAGATTCCAGGGTGAGGCAGTGGACCGAGCCTGAGGCCTAGGTGGCAGAGAGGGGCGGCTGCGGGCTCTCTGGACGGGCAGTGTCTGTGTCGGGCAGGGCAGGGCAGGGCAGGGCTGAGCTGGCCTGGCCGCCTCCCTCCCGGCAGACGACCGAGGTGCCTCAGTTCAGGGGAGTTTCCTTCCCAGGCTCTCAGACCGGAAAATCCCGGCACAGAGCATGGCCGCCTCCCCCCTCAGCCCTGGCAGGGGCGGGCACGGGGTGGGCCCCGAGGGAACAGAACAGGGACAGTGGCCCTCGTGACCCTGGGCTCCTGGGGGTGCAGCCCTGCGCCGGTCCAGGGAGCGGGTGTGTGTGTCGGGAGCACCGCCCTCCTCTGGTGGCTGGTGCACCTGTGGGCGACTGTGTGCCATGTGCCTTAGCATGCGCCACGTGTGTGCGTGCGTGTGT